GGCCGCCGAGCGTGCGAGGGAGCCGTTGCTTGTCTGAGCTGCTCTCTCCTAGACGCGGCGGGGTGGTCGGCATGGCCCGCGGCAATCAGCGAGAACTTGCCCGCCAGAAGAATATGAAGAAAACCCAGGAAATAAGCAAGGGAAAAAGAAAAGAGGACAGCTTGACTACTTCTCAGCGAAAGCAGAGGGACTCTGAGATTATGCAACAAAAGCAGAAGGCAGCTAATGAGAAGAAGTCTATGCAGACAGGAGAAAAATGATGTCTGGCTCTTCAGGAAACCTGGGTGCTACTACCAACTGGTACCTGATATGCTCCAAGATTGAGGATTCTTTAAAGTAAACAAACATCACTTGTGTTACAACTCATCCTCATAAAACTGTCTACTTCAAGCTTTTTTTTTCAGCCTTAGAGTGATGTTTTAGCACCGTTCTGGAAAGAATAAAACACCATGCATGTGAAAAAAAAAAAAAAGTTAATGAAGAAAATAATTGAGGCCAGTAAGAACAATTCCCGTGTCTATGTGAATGAATGTTTTTGGTTTTCTTCCCTCTGGGATCTGTAGTCTCGAAATCCAGCCAAGCCACATTTTCCCCAGCTGGCTCATGGCTTGTAGTTCTGTGAGGTGCCCTTCTGTCTGTGTAGCCAGGCTGACCTTGCCGGCACGTCCTCGCCCCCAGTGGTGATGGGAGAGTAGACACAGGGCTGTTCTCTGTGTTTGCTGCGGGGCAGGGCTTCAAGCAGACTGAGCTACTTAATGCCAGTGCGTTTGAATCCTGCTGCTTCTGAAGGCGACATTGCCAGGGCTGGCTTCTCGCTGTGGAGAGTGTGGCCTTGTGTGTCCTAGCTGGACCTTGAACTCGGGTTTGTATCTCTCCTGCACCTTCTCTGTTACTGTCACTCACCTAGTCGCTGTGCTAGAGTGACACTAGGGACCCTGAAGTGAGGTTCTGTCGCTATTCTGTGGCTGAGGCCTGCGCAGTAAGCCCTCCCTCAGTGGCCTCTGGCACCCTCTCCAGCGTCGGGGGTGCTGCACTGGTTTTCTTCTCCAGCTCTGACTCTGAGGGAGTCCCATCCACGGTCTGCAGTTTACAGTAGTCGTGGGCTTTGCTCAGGGCTCGAGCCGCTGGCCTGGCTGCTGCTGCTCCCGGGTGCTGCCGAGTCTGGCTCTTGCTCTTCTCCTGGGGCGTTGTGCTCAGCCACAGCAGGTCAGCTGGTTTGCCGGCACCTCGGCTGCTCCGTGCTGACGGGAAATAAGGTACAGTGCGGGCTGGGTTGGCAGGTGGCCAGGGCACCCTGGTGAGGGGCTGGCTGGGTGTCGGCAGAGCCTCCAGCCTCCCGTCCGGGCGTGTGTCGTGCATCTGCATCAGAATGTGCACGTGTGCGTGCAGGCGTATGTGTGCCTGTGCATTTATGTCCTCTCTCACCTTTCTCGCTTAGCTTGCACCACCTTGCCCCTGAAGCATTCCTCTCTCAGGCCCATAGTGCGTCTGCCTTCTGTGCATCTTTCAGGGAGCGCCCTTAAGTGGCTGCCGCTGCTCGGTTCCTGTAGAGCCTCACACTTCTGATACCTTGGAAAGCCCCGCCTGGGTCTTCTCGCGGGTCTCCGTCAGCATCTAAAAGCTAGACCAGTGCCCACTTTACTTTCCTACAGCATGTGGCACCATGGGCATCATGGCACTGGGATGAGGGAGGGCCTTGGGACACGTTTGTGACGACTCACTTGGGGTGCAGGAAAGGAGGCGACATCTGCGAGCAGCTGCGCGCCCTGGGCTCGTCCCTGGACTGGGATCGGGAGTGCTTCACCATGGATGCCGTGAGTGTCCTGCGCCAGGCGCTGCAGGCCTTGTGCGTTTAGGGCTGTGGCTGGGCTGAGGCTGTTGGGCGTATTGGGCAGGGGAGGTGAGGCATGGCAGAGAAAGACTGCCAGGTGCTTCAGATGTGGACCCTCAGGTGCTTCCAGGGCTCCTCCGTGGCTGTGACCGAAGCTTTTGTGCGACTCTACGACGCGGGATTGCTGTACCGGAACCGCCAGCTTGTCAACTGGTCGTGTGCTTTAAGATCAGCCATCTCAGATGTGGAGGTGAGGTAGAGAAGAGCTGCCCTGGGGGAGGTCTTGGGCTCTTGAGCTAGACCTGCGGGCTGCCTGCCCCAGCCAGCAGCTGTCACTAAGGGGCGCACAGCTGTCCCAAGGCTCTGCAGCCTCTTCACCTCCACTTTCTGAACCGTCAGTAGAGGATGACAGAATGCCCGCCTTGCTGTCGCTAAGTGCTGAGTGAGCAGCTGCTGTAACTGTGCACAAGTTGGCTGCAGGGCATGGGCATGGCGCCCGCCGCAGGGCCGCAGCGTGTGCCCTGCTGTGCGCTCCCTGCAGCAGTGGCTCTGACTGTCTTGTGGCCCGGCAGGTGGAGAGCCGGGCGCTGTCTGGCCGCACAGAGCTCCAGCTGCCTGGCTGCCCCAGTCCTGTGTCTTTTGGACTCCTCTTTTCTGTCGCCTTTCCAGTGGACGGAGAGCCTGGTGAGTGTGGTCCTCAGAAGGCTCACTGGCTGACTCCTGTCCCTGTGATTTCTCAGGCTGCGGCGTGTCTCCCGAGGGAACCTAGGTGGTGTGTGCGAGGTGTGGGGCTCGCGGGGGCCTGGGGCTTGGCTGTGTCCTTGGGAGCTTAGTGGGATTTTGTAGTGCCCTCCATGCAGGAAGGCGACGGCAGCCCAGCCAGTTCTGAAGTGCGGTCTGTGTGCGTCCCACTGCCCCGCGGGGAAGAACGAGGAGCCGGGAGGGCCTCGAAGCCTGTTGCAGCAGAGGCTGGGCCCGCCCTGCAGCGCGTGGGAGAGCACTTGTGATGAGGGCCCTGAGGCCGAGATCCTGGCCCTGGCGGGGCCCTCGTGTCCCTGCTGCTGCCCCTGCCTCTGTGCCAGCCGCGTCCGTGCACCCTCCCCTGGTGCCGCTCGGGCCTCTGGCCCCTGTGCGTGCGGCTCCGGCTTGCCCTCCTCACCGCTCTGCCTCGGCCCTTCCCTGCCCTCCTGCTTCCACTTCTCCCCGATTTAGCAGTGTTAGGGTGCGGTGCGAGTGTGATGACCAGCTGTAGATGCTCAAATGTCCATCTCAGATGCGGAAGTCGTTGTGGGAACCACGAGGCCGGAGACGTTGCCCGGAGATGTGGCGGTGGCTGTTCACCCCAATGATTCCCGCTATGCGGTAATTAATACATAGTGTGCTGTGAGAACCCCGTTCGTACGCGGTGTGCTGCGAGAACCCCATTAGTACGTGGTGTGCTTCGAGGACCCCAGCCCTGCTCTTCCTTCCCTCTAAGGAACTGGCTCCTTTTTTTAAAAAAAACTTCTCTCAGTTGGGCTCTGCAGTGTTTTTATATATATTTTTTCCCATTGATTTATTTAGAGACAAGGTCTCGCTATGCAGATTGGGCTGGCCTTGTGCTCACTTTTGTGGCCTCCAGGCTGGTCTCGAACTTGCAGTGATCCTCCTGTCTCAGCCTCCCAAGGCTGGGATTACAGGCGTCCTCACGGCGCTTCGGGCACGGCATGTGGGACTTTGCACTTCCCGGGCGGGCCCCAGCCTTGGAGCTGTGTCTCCAGCCCTCCGCCGTGCTTTTAGCTCTCTCTGGACCTTGCCTTCCAGGCTGGCCTTGAGCTCACTGCGCAGCCATCAGAATGCTGGGCTTGTGCTCAGCAGCACGTATTGGGAATCTGTGCTGGCCCTACGGGGTGTGCCCTGTGCCTGGGAGCCCCCTCTTCTTCATGGTGACCTCTTCTCTGCTCAGCAGTTGCCCAGATACAGCCAGGCCCGCTCCCGTGTGAGCCACGCTCGTGTTGCCCTGGTGTCGGGCTGCTGCTGTACACATCCTCTCGGAGTGTCACGGGGGCAGCACGTATGCAGAGTCCAAATCTGACTGAAGACCCAGAGCCTAGGACCCTCTTCATCCTGCCTCTGGAGGAAAGGCTGGCTTAGCTCTTGCTTGCCTTTTTTCCTTCTCGGCCCCAGGGCTTAAACTCAGCCTTGCGCTTGCCAGACAAGTGCTTAATCTACTGAGCTATCTCCCTGGCCCCAGCTTTCTCTTGTCTTCACTTTCTGGTTTCTACTGTGCTGCGGGGTTCCCGTCCCAGAGCCCCCACCCCCCACCCCGTGGCCATTCCTGACCCCCTACTCTCCCCCCAGCACCTGCACGGGCAGCAGCTTCGTCACCCCTTGACAGGGCAGCTTCTCCCCCTCATCACGGATGCTGCTGTTCAGCCACATGTGGGCACAGGTGGGCACCAGGGCTGCAGAGGGAGAGAGCCATGGGGAGGGGACAGAAGCAGACAGCAGAAATAGCAGTAGGGGCCGGGGAGACGGCTCAGTAGGATAAGCGCTTGACAGGCAAACGCAGGGATCTGAATTCAGTCCCCAGTTCCGCAAAAAAAAAAAAAAAGAAAGAAATGGCAGCGACGCAGTCGGGGCCCCCACACACCTGGACAGCCTCGGACCTCCCTGCCCTCCTAACCCCAGGGGCAGTGAAAGTGACACCTGCTCACAGTCCTGCTGATGCGGAGATGGGGGCGCGGCATGGCCTGCGCCCTGTCAGTGTCATTGCAGAGGATGGGACCATGGCGTCACCCTGCGGGGGCTGGCTACAGGTAGAACCAAGCTCAGGCCTCCTCGGTCCCCTCCGCCCTGTCCCACTACCCCCCATCTCTGGAGGCCTACTCTTTCCTCCTCTGCGTCCTCCAGGGTGTCCACCGATTTGTGGCCCGGGAGAAGATTGTACTGGCACTGAGGGAGCGGGGCCTGTTCCGGGGCCTCCAGGACCACGCCATGGTGCTGCCCATCTGCAGGTAGCACCATTTTCTTTCCTGAGGGCCACCCAAAAGGAGATGTTGGGCTCTGTGGGTTCTGTCACTGCCATGCTGGGCCCTCAGGGAATGGCGTCCTGGTGAGTGGGACTCATCCTGATTTCCTGCAGCCGCTCGGGGGACGTGGTTGAGTACCTGCTGAAGAGGCAATGGTTTGTCCGCTGCCAGGAGATGGGGGACCAGGCTGCCAAGGTGAGGCTCAGTGCAGGGAGGGACTGGGCCCGGGGTGCAGCCCCTGGGCGGGGATGGAGGAACAGGTGCCCAGTGCACCTTCCGTGGCGGTGAAGGCACTGCATAGGTGGGGGCAGGGTGGCCCTCACTCATGCTCGGGGTCCTCGTGGGAAGCTTTTGAGGCCCCCACTGGGTATGGAGCCACCGCAAGGCCCCTTGCCTTGTCCTGGAGGTGCAGGCACAGTGGCACTGGCAGCAGCCCCTGTCCATATAGGCCGTGGCGTCAGGGGCCCTGGAGCTCCATCCCTCCTTCCACCGGAAGAGCTGGCAGCACTGGTTTGCCCACATCGGGTAAGGCTGAGGGCAAGGCCCACGGGTGGGCAGCACTACGAGGTGCTGAGCTTCACGTGTCCTTTGGTAGGGACTGGTGCATTTCCCGGCAGCTGTGGTGGGGCCATCGGATTCCTGCCTACCTGGTCGTCGGGGAGCATGCAGAGGTTGGTGGCAGGAAGCCGGGTGTGGGAGAGCTGGAGAATAGCAGGGTCTGGCCCAGTTCCTCTCTGTCCCGTGTTTCACAACCTTGGCCTGGTCGCCGACCATGGTGAACGCTCCCAGCCCTTGTGTCTTCCTCTCACTCCGAGAGGGCCAGTCACTGAGACTGCAGGAGAACACAGAACGAAGGCCACGTTATGCCTGCTGCTGTGGGTCCTCCTCATGCCGTCACTTCTTAATTTTGCAGGGTGGCGAAGAGGACTGTTGGGTGGTCGGGCGGTCGGAGGCCGAGGCCAGAGAGGCTGCAGCAGCACTGACCGGAAGGCCAGGGGCTGAGCTGACCCTGGAGAGGGGTGTGTGTGGTGCTGGTGGCATGGGTCAGGGAGAAGGGGTGTCTGGAAACCCAGAGGGAACAAGGAGCCCTTGACTCTGGGAGGTGCTGGACACCAGGGCTCGGGTGTCCCCACCCCGTTCTCATCCTCAGACCCTGATGTCCTGGACACATGGTTCTCCTCGGCTCTTTTCCCCTTCTCTGCCCTGGGCTGGCCCCGAGAGGTGAGGCGAGTGATGGAGGAGGTGGCCAACAGGGCCCCCAGATTCAGGGAGCTGGGGATCCTTTACTGCCATCTGTTTCTCCCAGACCGCAGACCTTGTGCGTTTCTACCCCCTGTCACTTTTGGAAACGGGCAGTGACCTTCTGCTCTTCTGGGTGGGCCGCATGGTTATGCTGGGGACCCAGCTCACAGGCCAGCTGCCCTTCAGCAAGGTAACTGCCTGCAGCGCCCCATGCCTGTCCTTCAGCCCCCTTTCCTTGACTCACTTCCTGCCCAAACCCCATAAAGGGAGAGGCCCAGCTCCCACTGTCACACGTCCCCAGGTGCTGCTCCATTCCATGGTGCGGGATAGGCAAGGTAGGAAGATGAGCAAGTCCCTGGGGAACGTGCTGGACCCGCGGGACATCATCCACGGGGCGGACCTGCAGGTGAGCATGCGAGGCCAGGCTGCAGGCATGGGGTGGGCTGAGGAGAAAGGCCTGCTGGGAGGGGGTGGCAGCAGGGGGGCAGCCACGTGACCCCCCTCACCTCCCCAGGAGCTGCAGGTGAAGCTGCGAGCTGGGAACCTGGACCCTGCAGAGCTGGCCTTTGCAACCGCTGCACAGGTGAGACCTGCGCCGCCAGGCGTCCTGCTCAAGGCCTCGACTTCATCTGTAGCAGCTGGCTAGGCATCTGGCTCCACGTTTTCCTTGGTTGCAGAGAAAGGACTTTCCTCACGGGATCCCTGAGTGTGGGACGGATGCCCTGAGGTTCACACTGTGCTCTCACGGAGTGCAGGGTAAGCCGGTGAGCTGGCAGCGGCCCTCTGGGGGGCGGTAGGATCCGAGGCTGGCCCCTGCCAAGCGCGCTCCCTCGCCTCTCCCCGCAGGGGGCGACCTGCACCTGTCTGTCCCTGAGGTCCAGAGCTGCCGCAGGTTCTGCAACAAGATCTGGAATGCCCTGCGCTTTATCCTCAGTGCCTTGGGGGAGAATTTTGTACCCCAGCCCCTAGAGGCGGTGAGAGAGGCAGCCGTGTGGGGGCGGGCGGGGGTCACGCGTCCAGGGCAGGAGGCAGGTGAGCCGGGCGCAGGATGGGCCCCGACGTCCCTCCGCCCGACCCCAGCTGGCCCCGTCCTCACCCGTGGATGCCTGGATCCTGAGCTGCCTGGCGCGGGCTGCCCGTGAGTGTGAGCGTGGCTTCCTCGCTCGCGAACTCCCGCTCGTCACCCACACCCTGCACCACTTCTGGCTGCACAGGCTCTGCGATGTCTACCTGGTGAGCGGCCGTGAGCCCGGGCTGCGCCTGAGAGCGCTGAGGTGGCCGTCCCGACTGCCCCCAGCTGGGCACGGGAAGTGCGGGGAAGCCCTGGTGCCCTCTTCCCGGGGGCTGCTGCCCGTCTGTCACCTGGACAAATGACGGGGACTTCCTCCAGGCTTGGGGGGGACAGTCCCTGCAGTCGCATGGAGGCCATGGGCCGGCCCACGCTTGGGGTCCTCCCGGGACCAGAGTCACGGGGTGGGTGGGGGAGGGGCTTGTGACCGCACGTGCCCAGCGTTCCCAGCACAGCCCCTCGGGTGGGGGTGGGGTGGGGTGGGGTGGGGTGGGGGCTGCGCCTTTCCCCGTCCCCAGCAGGGCCGGTGCTGCTGCCTCCGCTGGGCTCACTGTTTCTCGGTTCTGCTGACTCCCACCCCTTATGACGAGCCAGCCCTGACTTTCCCTGAACCTCGGGCCCCCCTGGGACCCCATTCTCGCCACCTCTGGGAGTCGCTGCTCTGGGCTCCCCATGTGTGTGGCGTGACACCGCTCTGGAGACGGGTGGCCCACGCGTGCCGGGTGCTGCCATCCCTCACCCAGAACTGGCCCGCTGGGCCCCTCTTGGGACCTTGGCTGCGGGACAGCCCCTCAGGGCTGCGTCTGACCCTTGGCCCGCAGGAGGCTGTGAAGCCGGCGCTGTCCCTGGCGCCCCGCCCCCCAGGGCCTCCGCACGTCCTGTTCGCCTGCGCGGACGTCGGGCTCCGCCTCCTCGCCCCCCTGATGCCCTTCCTGGCCGAGGAGCTCTGGCAGCGGCTGCCTCGCGGGCCGGGTGGGCCCCCCGCCCCCAGCATCTGCATCGCGCCCTACCCCACTGCCCGCAGCCTGGTGAGTCTGGGGCTGGGCCTGTGGTGGTGCCGACTGCGGCCCGGAAGTCGGGTGGTTCTGCAGGTGGCAGCCGCAGGGTCTGGGGGCAGCGACAGCATGGGGCAGGGGCTGGGCTCTTGCCAGGCTGCTGCTCCTGACCATGTGACTGTGCCTCAGTTTCCCCCATCTTTAAGATGGGAACAATAACAAATGTCACAGCAGTGATGAAGGTTGAGTTAGCAACAGGGTATTCCCAAGATCTCAGCCTAGCTGTAATGACGACGATAAATGTTACAAGTTCATCCAGAAATAGATTTCCTTGAATGTCGGCTTTATAAATTTTGAAAGCTTTAAATTATTATAATTATTATTAATTTTTGTGTGTGTTTTTGAGGCGGGATGTCACTATGCAGTTCAGGCTGGCCTTGAGCTCACTTTGCAGCCCAAGCTGGTCTCAAACTCACAGTGATCCTCCTGCCTCAGCCTCCTGAGTGCTGGGGTTACAGGTGTGCGCCACCACACCCAGCTGAGTAATGTGTAAATTCCAACTGCTTGGTCTTTTTCAGTCGGTCGTGAAACACTCCAGCCAGTGTCTCCTCAGCCTTCTCAGTGGGTTCCATGCCATTGCCCTGTTCCTGGCAGTGGAGCGTTTTAGGTGCTGCCGAGGGCAGCTCTGTTGACCCAAGGCCTGAGGCTGGGTGGGTTGGAGATAGGGTCCGGAGGGCTCGTGTGGGTTCCCAGGACCCCCTTTTCCAACTATGGGTCCCCTTGGCAGGAGCACTGGCAACAGCCTGAGCTGGAGCGGCGCTTCTCCCAGATCCTGGAGGCTGTGCAGGTGCTGCGGGCTCTCCGGGACACCTACCAGCTCACCAAGGCCCGGCCCCGAGGTAAGGGACCTGGGCATCTGCAGGAAGAGGGGGCTGCTGGGGAGAGGGCAGGCCTGGGCCAGGGCAGGATGGCAGGTGAGGTGGGGCTGACACCTGGGCCCTGGCGTCCCTCCGTGCCGCCCGCCCGCCCGCCCACCCTCTTCCCCAGTGCTGCTGCAGAGCTCGGAGCCAGCGGAGCAGGCTCTCTTCCAGGCCTTCCTGGAGCCCCTGGGAACCCTCAGCCACTGTGGGACTGTAGGCCTCCTGCTCCCGGGGGCAGCAGCTCCCTCTGGCTGGGCCCAGGCCTCTGTCAGTGACAGCGCTGTGCTCTACGTGGAGATACAGGTGACCGGAAGGGACGGGGACTGAAGAGGGGCCCAGGCAGAGGGGGCAGGGCTGGGGAAGGGGTCGCTGCGCTGGTGGAGTAGAAACAGCTTAGCTTTTCCACGTGGACCCAGGGCCTGGTGGACCCCCAGGCCCAGCTGCCCCTGCTGGCTGCCCGAAGGCACAAGCTGCAGGAGCAGCTCAATGGCCTCATCACCCGGACTCCATCAGAAGGGGAGGCGGAGACTCGGAGGCTGCAAAGGGTGAGGCTCGGGAGGCCACGCGGTGCCTGGGCGCAAGGGAGCTCGGGCCAGGCCGGGCTGTCAGACCCTCCTCACCCTCGTCTCCACACCAGCTCTCTGCCCTCCGGCTGGCACTGTCGAGGCTGGAGCAGGCGGCCTCGCACCTGCAGCAGCTAGTGGACAGCCCTCCCGGCCCCAGAGAGTGCTGAGCTCTGGCTCAGACCTGGCCTGAGGACAGTCATCGTCAGCTGTCGGCGAGGGGAGCTCGGAGACCTCAGTGTGGCCACCTGCCTTGCTCGGTGGGTGCAGAAGCCCGCAGGACCGGCCATTCCACCGGGGCTTGAGGGCACGTGCTGTCTGTCTCCTAGCCTGCTCCTGTTGGCCCACCTGGACGTGTGGGAATGAGGAGATTGAGATAAACCCAAGATCCCGTGTGTGTGCCTGTGCTCCTTGGTGCCGCTTTCCCCTGCTGGGGACTCTTGCCTCTCCGTGGTCCTGGGAGGCTCGGCCGAAAGCGGGGAAGGCTGCCCGGCTGCAGGTTCCAGGCCACGTGGCAGGCAGTGGGTGCTGGGCTGCGCCTACCCTGCTGGGTGCGTCCCAGGGCACAGTGCCCCAGCAGCTCTGGCCCCTCGTCCCCTCCCCAGCTGCAGGGCTCCCTGCTCCTTGGTCTGTGCCCAGCAATGCTGAGAAGGGGCTGCAGGCTGCATGGGGAGTGGGCTGTGCCTCTGGCCAAGGCCACGTGCCAGAGCCCCACAGCCGCCATTCCCCACACCCTATCCAGGCTCCGTGGAGTGCAGGTCCTGGTCCTCTGGTACCCAGGTCGCTGGTGTGCAATGTATGGCGAGCGTGTCCCGAGTTGCCCTCCTTCCTTGGAACCCCGCCCAAGACCCGTCCACCTGTGCTGGCACACAGTGTGAGCAGCCGCCTGTGGCCCATACCTGTCACCAGCTCTGGTGCAGGCCCTGTCCGGCTGTGGCAGCCAAGCTTCGTGGTGAAAGCGACTTCAGGACAGCTCTGCCACCACTGGGGTGACCAGGAAGGGCTCTGGAGTGGGGCCCCCACTTTTAATGTGTTCACCCAAGGTAATTTGTATGTCCCTGCAGGCAGCTCAGATCCAAGCACGTTCTGTTCGCACTGACTTGCACACCGGTGGTGCGTGGTGCCTGTCTGCCGGGGCAGGCCTGGCCCTCTAGCTGTCCCTGCCAGCCTGACCACTTTCCAACTTTGGTCCAGTGTCTGCTGCGGTCTGCAGCACTGGGCCTGTGGCCCCCCAGGACACTACGAGGGTGGGGCTGCTGCTTTTCCCTGGGCTCTGTGAGTCCTTCTTGGGCACCTGCTCTATGCTAGGTTCTATTTGGACATGAAATTCATCAGCAGAGGGGACAAAGTGCCCTGTCCCCGAGCTTTTATCCGAGCAGGGGCAGCAGGGAAGCAGTGAGCATAAGGGAGTATGAAGTTTGGAGGGGAGGGGAGGGCGAGGGGCCAGTGTACGTGTGTGTGTGTCAGCAGGTTGTGATGGCATGGGGGGCCATGTAGATCCTGGGAGGTGAGAGGGGGGCAAGGACCGGTGTGTGGGAGGTACAGAATTAGCCGCACAGAAGTCCTGGAGAGCCACGTTCCAGATACAGGGCAAAGCTAGAGCGCCACTGCGGGGCCTCTGAGGACACTCACTGCAGCGAGCAGGCCACGCCCGGGCACGGTGGCTGAAGGGCTCTGGGAGAGGTTGGGAGCCAGGGCAGCTGGAGGGGAGCACTGCGGAATGGGGCAGTGGACTAGCTGACGCAGTGGCCACATGGGAGACTCGCTGTGCCGTGCTTCAGCAGGCTGACCACACTTCAGGTGCTGGCAGCCACACGTGGCAGTGGCTGCCACGGCAGCAAGTTATAAGGCTCTGCCGTTGTCACAGGATTCTGCTGGAAAATGGTGAGAGCTTACGGGCTTTTTAAGGAACTGAGTTGTTGCCTCACGGGGACGCGCTCCTGTTCCAGGGTTGTCCCCAGGGGTGTGCTTCCCCCTACTTGCACTCTGTGGGGCAGAGCAGTGCTGGTGTCCACAGGAGCTGTGGGGAGCGGACAGAACCTCCCTGGCTGTCCAGGAGGGGAGAGGGTGGGGCACCCAGCATCTCTGTCACCCTTGGCACCTGTGATGCGCTGCGCCGTCCCGCCTTCTCAGTGCAGGAAGGTGGGTCTCGGAGGAGTCTGGACACCATACATGGGGTCACAGTCCTAAGTGCCAGGGACCAGACTGAGGAGCAGTTCATTTTCTGCTAAACCTGTTGGGGGTCCAGGCATCCCGCCTGCCAACTTGTCTGGGGCACCTGTACGCCGACCCCGGGAGGTTGTTGCTCACAGGTGCCTGCAGGGACGTTGTGGACCCTGGTTTCCACGGGAGCCTTCTGACTACCTCCGGGGCTGGGCGTCCCAGGTCAGTGCTGGGGGAAGCAGATGGCCCCTTGGTTTGCCCCCCCCCACGACCGCCAAGCCCTATCCAGGAATGAACTCTTGCCTTCCCGGAGTCACGCTGTGCTGTCCTGTGGTGGTCGTAGTGGCTGGGGGCAGGGAGGACAGAGCAGATGTCTCAATGCCCCGCGTGGCCAGCACATCACTGTCTTGTGGATGAGGTAAATCCTCCCTAGACTCACACACCTGTGTGGCGTGTCCACGCTGCCAGTGGGCACATGTCAGCTGCCCGTGCTCCCGGGCCAGCCTGGCCACCTTGCACAGCTGCCCTGGGCTGCCCGTCCCACTGCCTGTGTGAACCAGTAGCTGGGGACAGTGCAGCGGGTGTTCTCGTCTGTCAGCATCCCTGCCTGGGGTCTCTGACTCCGGAGTCCCCAAGCTTAAGTCCAGAAGGATGAAGTGGAAATCCTGTGCACACCAAGGCCGGCCCAGCGCCTACAGGCTGGATGGGTGCCTGTAAAGCTACAGTTAGCGTCTCCCCAGGCATGGGGTAGGATGCAGCCGTGCGTGCGTGCGTGCATGCGTGTAGGAGGGTGGAGCCGCAGTTTGATAACTTTGCTTTATTCTGGGGTCCTCTGAAGGCCTCAGGTGGAGGTGTGCATGCGTGTACCGTAGGCCCACAGCTGTGGTATTGAAGGGACCACCCCACCCCTTCCAGGGCCCCCTGCACAGCACTGGGGTATCAGAGTCTGCCGGCTGTGCCCATGGACCCCCAACTCCGGTCCAGCTGCAGGGCCTGCTGAAGACAACGGCACGCGCAGCACGGGTGCAGCTGCTCTCAGGCTTTGCAGATGAGGTGGTGGTGGGGTCCCTTGGGATGGAGGGTGACACTGGTCCCTGATGGGAGGCGCAGGAGGAGGCAGAGCTGGGGACAGGAGTCGAGGGTGAGGCACAGGCAGGGTCCTCCACCCTGGAGATGGCCAGGCAGGGACTCAGACCTGCCCCCCCCCCAATTACCTTGCTGAGCAGTCCTGGGAAGCTAGAGTCACAGGGGGAGCTGGCCTGAGGAGACTCCTTCAGCTGTACTTTCAGAATCAGGCTTGGCCCTGGCCCTGGGGGTCCAGAAGTGTGCCCAGGACCGTCAGGGGTGCAGTGCCCCTCCTCTCAGCACCCTTCCCATGCCTCTCGAGGGCAAGCGTTCAGCTGGGCCCTGCCACCCGCCAGCGGCCCTCCCTCAGCAGCCTCTCCCACCCCATGCACCCTCCAGCATTCACCTGTTCCTTGGGTGCTGCCCAGGATGGCCAGGAGGAGAAGGAGAAGGGGCAGCGGGCCCTGCATGGTGGGCCCTGGGGCTCTGAGCAGGAAGGGAGGTCCAGGTCCTGTGGCCTCTCCTGAGCCTTGGCCCTTAGTGCCTGTGTTCAGGGAAGGGGAGAGGGATGTGGCCGGATGTGTGGTTCTCCAAGGAGAGGTCCGTCCTGGGGGGGGGATGTGGAGGGAGGTTCCCTTCAGCTCTGTGCCCTACCCAGGCTCCCTAAGAGAGGAAGGGAGGGGAGCAGGGACCAGGGGTGTCTCCCTGCTGTGCCCAGGCCCCGCCTGAGCCTGGCCTTCTTGGTACTCTCAGGGATTAATTTTTAACTGCATTAATTGTCATTCCTGCCACCAAAGAGCTCAGGAATGTGGGCCCACAGGGAAGGGTGGACTGGGCCAAATTTCTGCTCCAGGCCCAGTATCCTGTCATCACCCCACCCTGTCCTAAAGGCTTTCTGGGTGAGAAACCTGGTGGCAGAAACAGTAGTTGCTCTGAGTTATACTGGGTGCTGGGCTGGAGATGCCCCTCAGCTGATCTCCCCTCGGGCTCCCCCCAGTATGACCAAAGGGTGGGCAGGGAGGTGCGCGTGTGCCAGGAGTGTGGGCCCCGCCCACACGCTTCTTTGCTAGACCTCGGGACTTGCTCACACGCGGACAGTGCCGTGACCCGCTTGCTTGGAAGGACACTGGCCCTGCATCTCCCACCTGCCACCTCCCGAAACTCCGGGAACCAGAAGCAGAGCTGTGGAGGCGCAGGGGCACCAGCACTGGCAGAGCCAGGGAGAAGCCACGGGCAAGGGCCTGCACCCTCAAGGTGGAGAGAGACATCCCGGACGCCCCAGCTTGCTGGGCAGAGCAGCAAGACTTCAGCGGGAAGGGCAGAGATCCAAGAGGGGCAGACACAGGAGCCGAGAGGCGCGGGCGGGCACAGGGCCAGCACGGCCTGCCTGACACACACGCCCCTCTTCCCCCACTTCGACGTGACCACACTGAGGTGGCTGCACTGGGCTCCTGGTACTTCACTTTAGCACATGACCCTTGGGAGTAGGTCCCAGATTACCCCACTTGTGGGTCGGATGTCCGGGATGGACACAGACCTCGAGGCTTGCTAGAAGGCCCTGCTCAGAGTGCTGAGCTTTAGGGCCATGCGCACTGCCGCCAAATGACCTGCGGCTTTCCCAGCACCGCTCTTCTGGTTGCACCTTTTCTCTGGCAACGAACAGAGAGCACTGCAGGCTGGAGCTGCCTCAGGGCAGCAGCTCTCCCACCTGAAGGTCCGGGGCGCTGCCCAAGTCTGGGCGCCTATGTCCTAGGGCTCCTCAGGCTCCCTCCTCCTCAGCCCTGAGGTCAGGCTGGATGCTTGGAGGTGTGACCCTAGTGTCAGCGCTCCAGAGAGCTGGGTCTCCATGGATCCCATGCCAGCTGCTCCTGGGTCCCCAGGCCTTGGCTGGACAAGGTGTGCCCTGGGCTGGCACACGGGGCGAGGAAGGATGCTGCACTCTTAAAACTCTGCCGTCCTTTGTCCAGTGGCTCTGGTGGAGTGAGGGTCTCCCTGCCTTCTCTTCAGGTGTCTCAGTGGTCTGGTCCTTCCACCCCTGAGGCTTTCAGCCTGGCCCCGTTCCGGGAGCTCTTCAGAGCTCCTCCACAGCCTGGAGTGCCATTTCTTTCCCGCACCCCTCTGCAGAGAGCTCTTGGGCGCCTCTTGGGTGCTGTGCCAACTGGAGCCCGAAGACTCCCTGGCAGCACGCCTCTCAGGTCCACGCAAGAGCTCCTCTTGCTTCTCGGCGTGTCAGCCTTTGCCTTGTGCTTGGTGCCTTTCGTGCGCGCCTGATGTACTGCTTTTTTGCGTGTGTGTTTTCTGTGCCTCCTTCAGGGTCACGAAAATATTCTTTTTCATTCCCCTGGGAGTTTACTATTTTAGCTTTCAAACTTAAGCCTATGAGGCATTCCAAATTAACTTCTGTGCTTGGGGTAAAGCAGAAGTTAGGAGGGTTAATTTTTTCCCCTTCTGAAAATCCAGGTACCTCAGAACCATTCATTTCAGAAGCCAGGGGCTGGGGAGGTAGCTCAGGAGGATAAGCGCTTGCCTGGCAAGTGCAAGGGCTTGAGTTCAAACCCCCGTTCTGCAAAAAAAGAAAAAAAAAATCAGTTCAGAAGCCTTCCCTTCACACCCACTCACACTGTGAGCAATTTTATTGAAAGCCAACTACAGTAGTGTGGGTCTCTGCCTGTGGCTCTGCTCTGGCCCATTTGTCTCCATCTTTCCCAGCGTGTGGGGCCTAACGGTAGCTTTGTGGCTTGCCCCAAGCTCTCGCGGTGCAGGTCCTCCAAATTTCCTTTTCTTTAAGGTTGTCATGATCATTTTCTTAGAAAATGCTTGATTTTCATAGAATCAGCTCGATTTCTACCAAAGCCTGGCAAAGACTCAGGGAGCGAGGGCACTGCATGTGGCTCCAGCCTTGCTCTCGTCTACCTCTTCCCGCTGTTCCTCCCCCATCCTGGGTCTGGCTCCACCCCGCAGCCCTGCACCCCCAGGGGGAGCATGGCCACAGTGGCTGCAGTGGCCACTGTGACCCCTGGCACTTAAGAGTCACATGTGGCCCCGTGAGGGGGCTGCATTCTGAACACTGTGTGCCCAGAGACTGTCATCATGCAAGCATTAGTGATGTGCATGGGTCGACCGCTCAGGGTGGCCTCTTGGAGCAGCTCAGCTGGAGAGCCCTCTCCTAGCAAGCCCGAGGCCCTGGGTCCATCCCCGGCACTCAGAGAACAGAAACACAGCCCGGGAAGCACGGTGGACATGAGCTGCAGGAGCCTGCTGCCTGCACTATTCTGCAGTACAGTGTGTGCTTGTGTGAATGTGGGGGGCTGTGGGTTGAACCCTAGGCCTTCACACAGCACTGCACCCCCAGGCCTTTCCTGTTTCCAGTTTGAAGCAGGTGCTGGCTAAGTAAGTTGCTCAGAGTGGACTTCCACTCCCAACCCTCGGGCGTCAGCCTCCCAAGTGCTGGCATGACAGAGTGGTCTTTTCTTAATCAGTAGGCCCACACTTGATGGTGAAAGCACAGAGCACCTAGGCCTGCTGTTCCTTGTCACTGCCAAGTGGTGAGTGACACTGCACCCTGTGACGGGCATGTCCACTACCCCTGCCCCAAACCCAAGCAGTGTACTGTGCTGCAGAACAGCGTCTCAAGACCAGCGGTAGAGAATTCCTGTAGGTCTCAGGGCATCCATGTGTTGTCTTCACTAGGCCAACCCTGGGCAGGTTCCCTCCAGTAGAGCGCTGGCCAGGCCCTCTCCTCAGCAGACCCTGCCTTCCTCCCCTCCTCCGGGCTGGGGAGCAATGTGCTTCTAACCCAGGCGCTCTGCAGAAGACAGGAGGAACCACAGGCTTCAGTCCCCTCAGGAGCCAAAGTCGGGGCAGAGAGGGGCTGCATGGGCTCTGAGGAAAGGGGGGCCTCCGAAGTCCCCACAGTGCTGAGGGCTGCGGTCCCACTTGCTTCTTAGGTTCTGTCCCCTCAGGCTCCTCGGCATGGCCTGGGAGAAGGGTCTGTCCCAGCCACCGTGCTGACCACCCTGCCTCAGTGGTGGCTTCCATCCCAGCCACTCAGGAGCCGAGGAGGCAGGCTGGGTGCTGCAGGACTGGCACGTCACCGAGTAGAGTGCTCGGTTCATGTCCCGCACAGGAGAGGGAAAAGGAGAAGAAAGGGGAGAAGGACGAGGAGGAGGACAGGGAGGCTGCGGCCTCAAGGCCAGTGGGGCTGCATCTTAGAGTGACCCAGAGCTGGGGGAGGTGATAGTTTGCTGTACTAGGGAAGGAGGAGGAGGACCTGAGTGACAGCGAGGAACAGGGCCAACAGGAAGGTATGGACCGTGCGCAGCTGAGCGCAGAGGCCAGGCGGCGCGTGGAGGCTGAGCTGTGCACACCGCAGCTCTGGGTCCCGGCTCTGCGGCCTCTGCTTCTTCACACTCAGCGGCTGGCGCTGAGCCCCACTCCCTGTGCTCACGTGGTGCCACTCAGTTCACGGCATCACTGTACGGAAGGATCGCTGGGTCCTGGGTGAGGCGGGGCGGTGGCAGCATCCCAGAGGGCTGCGAGGAGGGTTAGGCCGTCACGCTGACCAGCTCGGAAGGTGCTGTGTCTCCTCTTGCCCCATCAAGACAGGCCCTGCTCAGAGGGAATGCTGGGAACCTGGGCTGCTGCCGGGCGGCAGCTGGACCTGGCTCGTGACTGGTCCATGCCTGTCACCTCCTGAGCACAGGCCCTGGCTCTGGGCGAGGCTGATGCCGCCGTGGCTTTGGCCCTACAGTGGTGCCCGAGGCCTCGCCAGTGCCCAGCGCCAGGGAAGCCAGGACAGCCACAGGCTTGGCTGGGCATCCTGCGTCCTCGCCATCCACTCTGGAAAGGACTTCTTCCCACCTGTCCCCTTTGCCCTTGGAGCCACTTCCCGTGGTGGATTCCTTGTTCCCTAGGCCTGAGTACCCTATGTCCACCGTGCAGGGAATGGCGGCGCCCTCAGCCACTGAGCCGGCAACTGGGACTCCTGTCCTGCTTGGCTGGCTGCCCTGGGTCTGAGGCGGCCTCGAGCTCTCTGCCTGCAGCTTTCTCAGCTCTAGAAGGAGGGCCAGCATGGGGGTCTCCAGGAGCCAGCAGTCTCCAGGGAGTCTGTGCCAGGGGGTTGGCAGCTCCGCCCCTTGCCCTCGCCAGGCTGTGGACAGAGCCCTTGCTGAGGGTGCAGGTTTCTGGCAGGACTTGGGTGGTGGGAGGAGCCCCCCCCCCGCCCTGGTCCCTGAGACCCCATTCTCTCTCCCGGCTCTGTGCTGCTCTCCTGAACCACTCTGGAGGCACCATGGCCAAGATCCTGGTTCAACAAAGCAGTACCCCTCCCAGGTCTCCCTGCCCCTGCGTACTGGGCAGGCGTGTGGCCTCTGCCCAAGTGGTTGCTGGGCACTCAAAGGAGATGTTGCCAACCTCCTGGGCCATGACTCAGTGAGCGCTCAGCTGCAGGGTGTCCCGGGCCTCCATGCAGGCAGACCCACCTCTGCAGATGCTATGCCCAGCCCCCCTATGCTCTGCAGAAGTGGCTCAGGGAAGAGTGGGTATTTGCTCTCCTGCAGACATCCTTGCCCTTGACCTGTTCGCCCTGGGGCTGCTGCTGTCTTCCTGGTGCTGTTCCAAGGCCGTGTGATGTCTAGCAGGGTCCTGCAGCTGCCATCTCGGCAGCACCCTGCCCTCTCCTACAGCATCTCCACAAATCACTCAACTTCCTCACAGAGAAGCATTGCTGTGGAGGCTGGGGTCCTTAGAGAAGGGGACATGGAAGGTGGTGTCAGCACCCCCAGGGCCTGATGGAGGGGTAAGGGCAGGGCTGTCTGCTCTGCATCCTGGGCTGGGCTGGCGGGCTGCCCGGCAGTGAGCAGTCTCTCTGGCTGACCCCACACAGCCCCATCAATCTCCATTCGTTGACTTAATGAGCAGCTGTTGCTTCTCCCCCAGGCCAGCCCTGCCAGGGCCAAGGGCCGTCGTGCCAGGGTGATGAGAGGGCTTCAGGGCGCAGGCCCAGAGCCCCAATGAGAGGGCTTCAGGGTGCAGGCCCAGAGCCCCAGGGTGTGGCAGGGCCTCCTACTTGCTCAGGGGCAGGCGGCCCTGCTCCCTGCTCCAGGAAGCAGGATGGTGACTCCTGCGCTGCCGTCCCAGGTCTGGGACACAGCAGGGACCCCGGGGCTAGCTGTTTGTTGCCACAGGGCACTTCCTTCCTGTCACAGTCACAGAGAGCTGCAGCCAGCCAGTGGAGAGGATGGTGGCTGCTGTCTCCTTGAGGCCTGAGGCCTTGTCCTGCCCAGGGCACCAACCCCAGCCACTCTCCGGAAAGCATGGAGGCTGTATCCGGGGAAGAGGATGTGTGCTTGGGTGGGGACATAAGAGGGGGACTGCACACTCCCTAAATGAGGGGTCTGCAGTTCCGAGTGGGGGAGACGGGTCTGTCCCTGTGCCTGGCCCCAGCGCACTGCATTCTGGGTGAGCGGCGCTGGTCCCTAGGCCCCACCTCTCCTCCCTTGTCACTCTCTGTGCTGTGCCCGCGCTGGCGCGTCACTTCGCACCCTGCAAGGTGCCTGCCTCTCGTCATGGTGGCCCACATGATGGCTCCTCCCGCGCCCTCTCACCTGGTCCTGGATGCCGGCCCCACCCAGGGCAGAGAGGGGTCCTGTGTGGGTAAGGGGTGTGGAGATGGAGCCAGACCACACCCACACCTCAGCCAGAGCCCCGTCCTGCTCAGGGCCACCCTGCCACGTGGTTCCAGCCCTGAGGGCCCCCCTGGCCACATTCCTTCCCTCAGCCTGGGCCAGGAGGCTACACCTCCCTGTTCCACTCCCTGACGCCACCCTGCAGTGGCACCCAGGTACCTGACTCCGTGACACAGCGCTGTGGCTCTGGTATCAGTGCCCTGTGGGGTGTGGCAGCTCCATTTGCTTAAGGTTTAGTTGTGAGGGGCCCAGCCCTGTTACGTCAGACCTGGCCCATATAAGATGAGGGGTCCCCAGCCCACGGCCCCCAGCAACCGCCCAGCTCCAACATGGCCCAGCTGCCCCGTGGCCTCTGTTCCACGCTTGGCTTCCAGTGCTGCCTCCTCTTTCTTCTGGCTTCTTGGGAGGCAGGTAAGAAGCCCTCAGGACAGGAGGACCACTGCGAATCAGAGAGGGCTTTTGTCCTGGTTTTCTTGGGGCCCACGGCCAGTCCTAGACACGAATGAGGCACTGCGGGTGAGGAGCTGCCGCACACAGCTGTCTAGGGTGGTCACTGCTCGGGTTTGCCAGGCGCATGCCTGCGCTGTGCCCATAGGAGGTGGCCTGCAGGGCCACCCCTGAGTCATGGTTCTTCAAGCTGGCTTCGGGCCCTGGGTGGGCTGGGGACTGTAGGGGGCAGGCAAGGCCCTGGCATTGGCTGGGTGGCTGCTACGCACCAAGAACTCGCCGCGCTCAGCTACACCATTTCATTTAATCCCCTTCTGCGCCCCAGGCGGAGGCTGAGTGGCCTCCCGAGGGCTGGGGCAGGGTCTCGGGTGGGGTGGCGCCCAGGGACGCCATTGACTCAGCTTCTCTTCTGAGCCCTCGTGGTGCAGACGGACTCTGCCAGCACCACGGCCAGAGCCAGGCCGACAGGGCCTTCCCGGCGGATCTCCCCGCTCTGACTTGCAGGACCTCCCGGCAGCTCAGCGGGGTCGCGGGCTGACAGGGCTTGGGGCGCCCCCAGCACAGCGAGCCTGGGCGCGTGGAGCCGCGCCCCGGGGACGGAGGCGTCGCCGAGTTTCAGCTCTTAGCCAGCCGGCAGAGGGGGCCGGACCTGGAGCGGAGGGCACACCGGGGCGACCTGCAGGGCCCCACCCGGTGGTCTCCCCAGGGGAGTGAGGGACTCGGGGTGTCCACGCTGGGCAGGCCAGCCGTGGCGGTGGCAGCGGCCATCCCGGGGCGGGGCGGGGTGCAGGGGCCGCGGGAGTCCCCGCCCCAGCTGGGCCCGGCGGGCGGCCGCGGACGAGCGGCTGCGCTGCTGGGAGGGGCTGCGGGAGAGGCCGGGTCGGGGAGCACCGTGTCCAGAGCGGCCAGCCGAAGGGAAGGCGCGCCTGGGAAGAGGAGCCCTCGGCGAACGGTTTGGGGCCCCCTGGCTCTGGTCCCCAACACCGGCTCCCCAAGTCAGTTAACCCAGGAGCCGGGATTTTGGTCTGCTGTAACCGCCGCGGGGAACACAGCAAGGGTGAGAATGGGGCGGGTCCTGAGGGGTCCCGATTTGGCATTTTATTTGTGTTTACTGCACACGCCTGCCGTGACCACACCGGTTCTGGGAGCTGGACGTGAGCACCGCGCTCCTTCCAGCTCACTTCCCCTCCCTCTGGCTCCTCCATCCCTAGCCCCTTCTCATTCGCAAAACTGAGAACCTCCAAAGGATATTTTACACCGTAGAGGTCATCCCATTTCATTTCTGTGACAACAGAAGGGCCCCCACTGTAGACCGGCTCCACGAAGAGCCCCTCAGCACCCCACTGTCCCCAGCTGGTTGGTGACCTTCCCTCTGTGCCTGGGTCACACACGGAGCTGAGAGTCAGGCATGGTGGCGCACACCTGCCCTCCCAGCCAGCAAGAGACTGAGGCAGGAGGATCGAGTGTGAGTTTGAGGCCAGCCTGGGCCACATAGTGAGGTCAGAGGCAGTTGTAGCGAGTGCTCGTCACCACCACCACCCTCTGTGGTACTCGGGTGAACCCAGGGCCTTTGCGCTGAAGTGCACCCTCTGTGCTTCCACGGCTGCAGGGCGGATCTGGAGCGCTGCGAGCCGCTCTGAGGCGAGCTCTTGGCTGTGATTTTGCCGCTGGCTCGGCAGTTGGCGCCCAGGACCAGCAGGGCAGGGCCCTTCTCTGAGACCGCGCCTGCCGTTCCTCGCAGGGGCAGCATCACTCCTGGGTCTTCCAACCTTGCAAAGCCACAGATGAGCTTGCCTTAGGCCTGGGCTTCTCCAGCTTTCCTTCCTCCGTAAACGCTGCCCCCAGGCCAGGCACTGCTTTAGCTGGAGGTGTGGTGCTGAACACATGGATGAAAATCCCTGTGATAGGGGTCGGGAGACGGCTCAGTGGAATAAGCGCTTCCCTGGGAAGTGCAAGGGCCTGAGTTCAATCCCCAGTTCCGCCAAAAAAAAAAGGAAAAAAAGAAAATCCCCTGATGGTGGAACTTAAACTGTGAGGGCGTGGACGGGGCACATCTGATGACGGCAGAGCCAGGACCCAGCCTTGTCCCGGTTCTGTAATCCAGAGGAAGGTGCCGCGCTGGCTGCTGCCTGCTCACCAAGCCCCTCAGCAAATCTCTGTCCCTTGGCAGGCTTAAAAGAACCTGGTGTGGAGAGGAAAGCCTGCCTTTGCCAATTACTTTGCCTCTTTGTTCGGAGTATTATTATTATTACTACTTTTTGAGACAGGGTCTCGCTCTAAGTCAGGCTGGCCTTGAACTTACTCGTGTAGTCCAAGCTGGCCTTGAGCTCACGGCGGTCCTCCTGCCTCAGCCTCCCAAGTGCTGGGAGTGAATGTGTGCGCCACCGTGCTCAGCTACTAGGTCTCTTGGAATCTCCTTTCCTCACCTGAACATCCACAAGTTCGGAACTCTTGCCGGCGGGTCTGTTGCAGACGCAAAGCGAGCAGGTGCGGGGTCAGCGCGGCTCAGCGCTTCTGTGGGCATGTCCTTCCTTCCCCAAGAGACAGGGCTGATTCACAGGCGCGAACTGTGGTGTAGCCACTAAGTGCTCCTGGGAGCCCGCATGTGTGTGAATCCTGGCTTCCCCCGACTCACTGGTTGCCCCGAGGAGATGACAGCCACTCTGACTGCTGTTTCCTCGCACGTGGGGTTGGGAGACCAGTAGGTAGGTTTCAGGCACGGTGGGCTCCGCTGAGGGCTCAGTGAGTCCGTGTTCTCATGCGCAGGGCGCCGGCCTCGGTGAAGCTTGGCTGTTGCCACTGTGCGGGCCTATGTACCATTCATTTTCCTCCGGGGAACTCCAGGGGAAGTTGAGTTTCTAAGGAACCTTGTGGGGTAGGGCGACAGTCACTTAAGAGGAGAAGCCAGAATGAGAATGTCTCTGAGGCCACCTTCCAGGTACACTGGCATTGGTAATATAGTAAAATACCCAAGACAATCAACTTACAAAGAGAAAAGGTTGATTTCAGCTCCGGGTTTTGGAAGGCTGAGTCCATGAGCAGTTGGCACCACTGCTGTGGGCCTGTGGAAGCCCATTATGCTGGGAGCCTGTGGCAGGAAACAAAGCCCTGACCAAAAATAAACCAAAGTTGGGGTCTCATTATCCACTTCAACCTGAAGACATCCCTCTAGATCCTGTCTCCTGAAGATTATGCACCTCCCAATTGGAGACCAAACCTTTAAAACCTGAGCCTTTGGGGACAGTCCAGATCCACCATGGCACTTAGAGAAAGTGCCCAATAAATGACAGCTCTTATTGGAATTGCTGTCCAGGGAATCCGAGTGGAATTGGCAGAGTCGAGTGAAGCCTGCTACTTCAGCCCTTCTCTGTCCCCACAACCTCAACTCCCATTTAGGAACATGGGCTCTCTGCCATCTTCACCATCTTCTTGTCCCACCCGTACTTCTATGGAGGTCTATGTCCCCTGGCCCCCATCCTCCGCCTCAGCGGCGAGGTAGGTGGGTCATGGGCAATGGGCCCAGCTTCTGGCTGCCACCTTGAGCTAACAGAAACTGGAACCTTATTATGTAACCATGCTATCTCCCTCCCGTGGTGGCCAGCTCCTGGCTCTCATTCTTCTGGGCAGATATCAGAGCACGTCCTGTGTGCCCTATCCCGTTGTTTCCCATGGAATTATGGCCGTATCTGCCACTTAATGGGGTGTTTCCTTCACACCCTGTCCTTAAACATAGTTGCTCCTCGGACCCCGCTGCCTCATTCACTCCTGTCAGAACCTCCAAGGAGATATCGTTTCCTGTCGAGCGGGCCACCTGCATCCATCCACAGGTGACATTAGGTGTGAAGAGCCTAATGCGGAAGCCAGAAGGGTTGAGTTGCCTTATCTACTTCTCCTTCCTGACTAGATTTTATCACAAAAATGTAGATTCCCATCTCCCTCCCCAACCCACCCTTCATTCTCTTCTCATATGCCTTTCATAACTGCTTTCTACCTTTTTTTTTTTTTTTCCCAGTACCAGGGATCGAACTTAGGATCAAATTACGCTTGCCAGGCAGGTGCTTATGCTGCTGAGCTATCTCCCTGCTCTATGTCTACCTAATTTCTACAGAAGATTTGCCAGAAGTTTTACCTCAGTCTCTCATATGATTATGTTTGGAGTGGAACTAGAGTGTCACAGAAAAATAGAGATCCTGGTATTTGTTCCGTTTCCTCTCAGGTCTCCCATGGAAAAGGAATTATCTTCCTTAAGTCCGTAAACCTGACGGCGCGCCTGTAGAGCAAACTGCCAGTCACCGCCTGCCCTCACAGCTCACAGTTTGCTAGGCACGGCAGGAAGCTGCTGTTGACAGGCACGCAAACAGCCGCGGTGCCCAGGGGAGGCGGCAGGCCAGAGCGAGCAGTGGGGTGCTTCTGAGCGCCATGAGGGCGGTAGATCTTCTCTGCTCAGTGGAAGCAGCGAAGATGCCAAAGGACCTGACGCTGGGGCTGAGGAGGAGATGTAGGAGCAGAGGGGGTGGCATTTATGCAGAGGACATGGCTTGAGAGAAAGCCTAGAAGATGGAGGTAAAAGTGGGGATTCGACATGGTGTTCTGAGAGGACCGGCTAGGGAGACACCTGGGAGAACCAAGGGACCCTAGGAATAGAGGGAAGAGGGGAAGAACCTCAGGAGAAAGCTCTTATTCACTTCTCTTCCTGTACAGCGGCTACATCTCAAGAACTTCAGAAAACCGGTGAATCTCCAGCACCTCTTCACTCATCCCCCTTCAGTCCAGGCCTTGTCTACGGCGATCCCACTGGCCACACTGCTCTGCATCCCGAAACCAGACCTCCAGGCCTCTCCAAATCCACGGAAATCCAGAGGCCAAAGCGCCACTGCAACAGCACACGCCGTTCCAGGCCGACTCGCAAGCCGGTAGACAGCCCCAGCAGTACAGCCCACGCCAGCTCTGGAGCTCAGCACACGCCTCCTCCCACTTCTGCACACAACAAACAGGAGCCAGCTCTCCGGGAGGAGCCCTCCAACCCTTACATACACAAAAGATCACCTCAGCAGCTTTCCACGTCGGCACCCGCGAGGAAGACAACTTGTAGGTCCACCACTCGCAAAGCAAGAACAACAAGAAACACAGCCACAACAGCGAGACCCGTGGAAAACACTGCCGGTAGTGTGAATAACACAACCATCATCTCACACAATAATACAATTTCTTTCAATAACTCAGTCAATTCAGAGATCAACAGAAATACCACATCGTCCTCAGAAAAAACCACACAAGCCACAGTGACCTCGTATAAAGGTACAAAAACCCCAGAAGAGTCAGATCGAACTGAAGAGTATAGGACTACAGCTGTCTCAGGGAATCCCCGAACAAGGACTACAAAAGACATGAAGGAGACATCAGCCAGTAAGAAGATCATAGGAGTCCCTGTAACACCACCAGAACATGGAGGACAGACTGTGGCGGCCCATGAGGTCACGGGAGCCCATACAACACCTCCAGAGCATGGAGGACAGACCGTGGTGGCCCATGAGGTCACAGGAGCCCACACAGAACCACCAGAGCATGGAGGACAGACTGTGGCGGCCCATGAGGTCACGGGAGCCCACACAACACCTCTAGAGCATGGAGGACAGACCGTGGTGGCCCACGAGGTCACAGGAGCCCATACAACACCTCCAG